TTTGATTTCACAAACCATGGCCCGACCTACAATATATTTTAAACCAAGAGGCCCTTAAGAAACTAGAAGAACTCTCGCTAAAAATTGAAGAAAGAGACAAAAAGGGAAAAATACTTCTACGCAAAATATTTTTATTTCGCAATGATGAAGTATGATACATAAACATACTTGATATTGCGAAGATGTACATTAAGTTCTAAGTTAACAAGCTTTTGATTGTAAAAATTTGACCCCGTCTTCAAAATGTTTGAAACAAAGGGGCATTTAAAAATCCTCCACTAAAAATGGAAGTAGGAAAAACACTTATAACAAAAATGATACTTCAACTTAGAATTAATGGAGTATGGAACAAAAACATACTTAATAATGAGGAATGATAATGTGCATTAAATTCTGAATTAACTAGCTACTGGTTGTACAAACCGGGCCCCTACCTGTAAAATGTTTGAAACCAAGGGGTTCCCCTCCCCCTAGAAACGGAAGAAGGTAAGAAAAGAAAAATACTTATACGCAAAATGATACTTCAATTTCGCAAAGATGAATTACTAAACAAGAGTATACTTATTATTGCGACAATAATATTTATTTCTGTTTAAGATTTGAATGGCGTTTATTAATTTCTGTTTTATATTTTAATATTAAACAGAAAAAAAAGTGGAATATATTATAAAATTTATGCTGCTTTATCAACGCCGTTTTAAGAAAAATTTATAAGTTTGAACTCCTTGAAAAAAATTGCATCATTCACTGCTAATTTATTGGCATGAGCACAGTACAGGTCAGATACCGCCCCTCCCCCTGTATTTTTAAGAAAAAACTTTAAAGTTAATAGATTATACAACCTTTGACTAAATTTAGCTGAAATCGGTAGAAATCAAAACAATGAATTATTATATAGTTCTTCCTTCTTTTTTTTCCTATTCAAATCTTTCCTCACTTGCTGGTTTTGGCAAAGGTAATTAACGTCTTTTCAAAGAGAAAGGGGAAGAAAAAAAAGATAGGAAATAAGGATTTGTAATAAGAATTGAGGAGTTGTCATTGTGTTTTTCGGAATTCAAGAACCCCTAGAAAATTTCTTAACCGATCAGATCAGATTTCAAAAACTTTTATCTAACGTAATTCATCGATTCGAAACTACTTTTGTCAACACAAAAGCTAATTTAAAGAAGAAACTGCCGATATATTTAATAACGCCTTCGAAACGAGCAAACAAAATCCGAATGGCAAGTGGGGAATTAGACAGACTTATTTGGATTTCATTTTAATAAATGTTAGTTTAATGACATATCTAATAATTGTTAGTTCAAAGTGTAACTATACAATTTTATTTTGAACTAAGTACTGCAGAATAAAATAAATCAAACCATTATAATCCCGCCCACTGCTAAAGAATTAGGTAGGTTACCAATTTCATCTTTTAATCCTCTGATTGATAACGTTTCTTATAGTCGACGTGAGTGGGTCAATGAATTATTTATGTAAAAAATTAAATTAATTTAACCTTTTGAATGTTAAATCTATCAAGATATACAGAGAGTCTGATTACTAAGGTCTTGCTCTCTTTTAAAATATAAGTTCGGTTCTTGATAATAAAGGTCAACTTGTAATGTTTCACAGTATATGAATATGATTATTTCAGTTAAAAAAGTGGCTTATCAAATAAAAAGGGATTATCATTTATTTAATCTCATGACTGGATATTAACCGAGTTTTGTACTTATCCGTTTGAAAGACACCCTTTAAAAATATGTTACTGTGAATGGCAGAAATGGGTGGCTGTTGACTTCCACCGGTGAATCACATAGTCACTTTGGTAATTGTCTGAAATATATACTAGGTCTAGTTAAGTGCCACTGCCCACCCAGTATGCATTTAACCAGTACTCCGAACACTGATGTTTCTCTTAATCTATCTTCAGCAGATATTAAAATATCGAATAAATATAATAATATCAAGGAATAAATTAATATCAAATCGGATATAACAAATATTTCGGACATTCACCAAATCGACTATGTAATTGTCGACATATTCTTGATTTCGGCCAATAACGGTAACATATATACTATATTAATGCGAGCTCGTTTTGAATAAAGTCACTAACAAAAAAATTTTTTTTTTTGACGAAACCTGTATTTCTACCCTCCAAGTACAGAGTGTAACAAATCTAGGAAATAATAAAATACTTTTGCTTCTTTCTATAAAGTATATTTAATCAGACATTATTTCACGTAAGAAAAAATGTTTTTTTCTTACAATGATTACAATTTTTGTTAAAGCATACCGATTCCTATATCCTCTTGTGGAGTTTTTTTAAAATTCGAAATGTTAATGAAATCGGTTGAATAGTTGATAAGAAATTAAAAAATAATTTGTTTTTAAATCGTTACATCAGCAGGGCCAGCACTAAGTATTCGCCTCCTCGCTAAATGTGATAAAATCGTTTAAAAAAAAAAAAATTTGGCGAGTGAATCTTTTTCCGAAAAGAAAAATACATATTCCTCTTGATCTGAAAAAAAAAAGGTTGAAAGGAACTTTTTTTGAACAAATCCTGCATTTATTATTTGATTACAGTAGTTTCCGTTTAATTATGTAAAGCATGAAGCAAATTAGGGTAAAATACAAATAATGCGATATCGGGTGACAAAATTTGCCCCGCAGTTAGTATCAACTAAACAGATTAAGCAATAGCAAGATGCATGTTATCACCAACCATTTTTGCAGAAAATATGTTTTCTCGCGACAATAACACAATGTTGATTCAGGTTTACCTCATATTACTGCTCTAGTCCATGAAGTTATTGTAAATTAACCACAACTAATTCCTATTTCTTTTTCTCAAAGACAATAAAAGACGTACATTTTTCATTCTCCTTCTGCTTTACTCCTTTCCAATTGCAAAATTGACACTTGATTTGAATTTTTCCACGGGAGAAAAATTAATCATAAAATTTTTTATTTTAATAACTGTCCTTGAACAGCTGATCCAATTTTTGGGTTCATGACTACGAATGTTAAACTCCGCAGCCTTGCTATTTTGAACCCAATCCAGAAAACAAGGGAACTTCTGGATCAAGTATTGGAAGAAAATTGCCTTTGTGGAGGACTTTTTGAGAGAACTAACCCGCATTTGCGTTACATGGAGAGGAAGACCACAAGTACCTCCCACAGTTAGCCTGACGGCAAGAGGACGCTAATCCATGATCCGTTTTCACCCGAGGATATTTCATGTCAGCACTGTGGTTGGTGCAAGCCGGATGTGAAATTCGCATGGACCAGTCGTCGCTTGGATTGAGCCAGGTTCACCTCGTTAGAGGGCGAACACTCTATCCCCTGAAGTATAAATTTTTTAAAAGATTTGCCTTTGGCTAAGAATTTTGAAATTTGGCTATTACTTTTGTTGATAGTTGGAAGTCCTTAGCACAAGCCCTGCGTCAGTTAGACAAGTGTTTTTTCACCAATAAAAATTAGGGCTCTACCACAATACACCATAACTAAATCCTTATGACAGGGATAATTGTGAAACAGAGTGAAAATTTCAGGTGCAGAAAATTGATATCAATTTATAAACCATACATGTTTCATATTTAACATAATTTTTGAACTAATATTTATAATTAAACTACCTACTACTAACTAATATCACACCTTTAGAGTAACTAATTAAAGAAAAAACTTACTTCTTACGAGAATTGCGATATTAGATTTCAAAATCGCGTGAATATGAATCCAAAATAAAAATTAAGCAGTTTTTAAAGACAGTGGGAGTCTAGCATATTCAATAAAATATTCCTCTGGTAAAATAGATTTATGACAGACTGAAGTAGAATCAATAAATTGCATTCATAAAAATATTTAATAGACTAAAGTAACTGAATCCATGGGTTTGAATTTTATGAGAGCAGCAGTTTTTTTTTAACATAATGTTAAACCAGTTAATGTTGTCTAGGTTTTTTAAGAGGTACATATTTTGTGAAAATTAAAAATCATATTAAAAGATCAACACAAAAGTTTGGTAAAGTAAGAAAATATTTTCAAAAATTGTAACTACAAATAAAAATCATTTATGACTGGTTTATCTACATTTCCCCCCATATATTCAAAAGAAACTTAGCTTTGCATCCCAATTTAAAAAATCCATAAAAATCATTCTCATAGTTAAATTTTAACTTGAATTCATTAAAAACGTGCATTTAACAATACCAGGGGTGATTGTGAGCCCAAGTCAAAATTCCGGAAAATTTGAGTTAAAATATATTTAAAATTTTACACATACTTATGATGACCTGGAAAAGTAATTAAAATTTACAAATATGTCTTTCATTCTTGAGTTAATGATTATAACAACTATTTACTGATAAAAAATGAAAATTAATCATGAATATAAGCTTATGAAGTATCTGGCTCTCCCTTAGAAACAAATAAAATTAACGGTGTTTTTAAGTTCCACCTTTGAAAATTTGATTTCCAGAAACTTCTGTGATCAATGATTTCTTGAAACGCATGGACCTTCGATCGCCGGAAACTTCCGGATCACTGTTAGAAAATCCTGATTTTTTCCGGAGCACAATCATTCCAGCAATATTATCACTAAATATTATTTTCATTATGAGAACATTTTCAACTAGGTTATAGAGAACAAAGTTTCACAGAGAAAAAAATGTTTCATAAAAAATAAAGGTCTGTTAGAATAAATTTGCAAGAGTGTTTAAGATAATGTTCGAATTTTGACTTCATGTAAAGTTTATAGAGGGAGAACCTCTTTGTACCATTTTAAAAAATTCACTGAAAAAAAAGTTAGCCTTGACATGGCGTAAGCGATCGGTTAACTTTACTCGCATTTTCATAGATTGCAATGAGAACCTTTTTTAAAAATATTTTTTCCTTAAGTTGAATTTGCCCAGGTACCATTAAGCGGTAGTAAATTAACCCTGTAAACAATTATATTTTTTTGGTTGTGGATGAATCAAAAAATATACTTTGACAGCAATCAAAACAAATGACCAGTAATAGAAACAAATTCTTTAATTCAATTTAATACAGATTGATGCTATTTTTTCAATAAGTCAATTTTAGTTCCCATTAATTTCAAAACTTATAGGTGAGGCCATTAAATATCTGCAGGTCTAGAGTTCTTTGAGAATGTATTCTGAATTTAAAGAATCTATTTTGACAAGGCTTGACAGCAGGTCTATTGAAGTCTAATCTTCTGCTCCTTCTGAAAAAAAATAGAGAAAATACCCGTTTTATTATATAGCAGTTATGGAAAAAAGCCAAACTTTACACAGTATCTAACTAAAACAGGTTTTCAACAACAAAAATTACAATTTAGAGGTATTATTATACTATATAAAATATAAATTACATAAAACACAGTATTTTTATAAGGTTATTGATTAATTTTACTTTAATTTTTTACTGAGAGAAAAATTGGAGATCTAATAATCTTTTGAAAATTGCAATCTGGTTTAGCATTTTTAATTTAAGTGTTTCACAAGATTCAAATGCAACAGCTCATTTTATATTCATATCGTTTGTTTTATTTTCATTCACTTTTGAATTTGTCAAAGGTCCCCGAGTTCAACTCATAAAATGTTTGCAATTTTAGAATTATTGAGTTTATGACAGAAATTAGGAGGAAAAAAAAGCAAAATTCCGTTTTGAAGTAGGATCAATTATAAGTAACCCTTTTTGACATGCTCAATTCGTTGACTCTATTGTAAATTCATATAGCTCGCTGATCATTTGTTTGCTGCATTTCCTCTATCATTTAATGTTTAAAATTTTTTTAAAATCATTTGTAAGTGTTTAGTCAAATTTCAGTGATTACTAATTCTTTATTATTAGGCGACGCAAAGTTCGAATTTGAATTATCACTTCTGGAAGTGTTTGAATGAAAAAAATAAACATTTCTTAAACAAAAAACTAAGTCAACCTTGCCGGTACCGAAGATCTAACCCAGGACCCGTAGCACATGGGATAGAACCCATTCGCACTCATTCAATAGAAAAGGTGGACGTTAGTTTTGCCTTCAATATTACTGTGCATTAGAGCTTTAGGGAAAGAACCGTTATCATAATATGTTGCTGAGATGGCACACCTTCAGCCTTGATCGGAGAATTTTTTTCTAGCTTTAAAAAGTTAGCTATTAGTGATTTTCTTGCCTTAGAGTTAAGTCTTTGAGACTTTCTTCAACCTCACAACAATGCAAGAAAAATAATTTTGTGTATAAAGAATTTAATGACTGTACTCATATCTCTCTTCGACAGGACAAAATAAAGAGATCTTTTCATACATGCCAACATTGGAAAAATAAAATAAAGGAGATTTTACTAGCAACATATTTAGACTACAAGAACAGTTTTGATGCATCATGTATAATCATGCAAGTCAGAAACAAAAAGTTCAAAATTGAAAATAACATAAGCACTTATATTTAGCGAAGTAAAAATTATGTATATAATTCTTAACCCAAAAAAGATTTTTTTTAAACATTATTTACAATTACTTAAACTATAAACACTCAACATACTACAGTACTGGCAATAGCATCATTTGTCGAGGAATAAGAAAAGTATTTTTACCATTAACAGATGCTCTATTGCCAAAAATGTTGTTTTGAGAATATACGAGTAAACAGGAGATAGTCTTAAAATACAGAAGTTGTCGTTAAAAATCAGGAGATTTGGCAGATATGTCTCTTGTTCCACCATACAGTGGACTATATTTGGTACTATCTGGATCTCTAAAGCACTTCACAATTCAAGTTGGACCTGACAAGCAGACTGTTAGCAGAGACAGATTAAAGCCAGCATTTCAGCTTTCTGAAACATGCATGTTAGATTAAGCATAAGAAATTTCCTGTGTGACCGCCATATTGTTGATCCTATTGGTGAAGTGTTCCCGACTTCGTCACCATAAATTGCTGACGTCATTTTGCCACTTTCAATTTTAAAAAAATTTATATCTTAAACAATAACTCTATAATACAATTAACGATAAAAAAAACAACAGTAATTTTGATTATCCTATAAGCACCTTTTAAGCACTTTGAAAAAAATATCATAATTAGACAGGGTTGGCAAGTTTTTGATAATTGATGGTTTTATTTGCTTGCTAGTGGAACAAGAAATTAACAAGAGAAAGGAAATTTTCTATCGCTAATAGGGAGAAAAAAAGGAGACAAGGTTTAGTTGGTCCCTGTAATCAGCAAAAATTCGAGAGATTTACTGATTCTATTACAGAGGGCGGAAAATGAAGTCTAAAATTGAGAATCTATTGCAAAATGCAGCAGAGTTGCACATGAGAGAAAAAAAGCCTTACCACTGAATCCAGCTCAGTATACGCAAGCGCGGACGCGAAAGTATTTCATTAAACATGTAAAAAAATGATGTTATCATACACTACAGACAGACTGTAAGCAGAAATAGATTGGGGTTGAATTAATTGTGAAAACTTGGAATAGGACAATGTCTTTTTGCATAATTTGTGGCGAAAATCAACATGAAAAATATCACATTTTGAAAAAGGAAAAATTAAGCACTTTTTAAAAACACCCATTGAAAAAAGCACCTTTAAGGGTTTTAAAAAAATGAAAATCGAAAATAAGCACCTTTAAAAAACACCACGAACCCTGTTAAATTAATAATTTACGTCATTCCACTTTTTTTTTTTTGCACTATCAAGCATTGGAAGTTTTATAAAACTGTAAAATCTTCCAACTGAAAAATGGGACATTTATTCAAATCACATTTACTTCAAAGCTAAAAGTGAATACTTAATACATCAAAAAATAAAATAAATAAAAGAATACCATTTAATTCATCATCTGCTTCGTCATCGTCCTCATCATCATCTTCAGTATCAAAAGTATTATCGGGAATGTCGTAAAGGCGAATAACAGGCTGTAAAGGAAAGAAAAAAACTTATACTAATAATATAAGGTTTTATTATATTCAGCCAGGCACGTTACAAGTAAATGTAAGGTGTACAAACGTATTTCCTAAACCAAAAATAAAAAACATCAATAATATTAATCTACACACTTTCAGAAATCCACAACCACTTAGAAAAAAGCACACTTATTTGCTATTAGAATAATGTTTAAAAAAAAAAGTACTTTTATGTAACTAATACTGTTATTCATTTTCCCTGTCCTTTTTTTAATATTTCAATTAATTCTAATCCAGATTTTTTCCCTGTTCTGAGGCAAACTCTGTTTTTAAAAATTAAAAACAATTTAGTGTTTAATATATATAATATAACATAAGTAATAATATAACAATAAGATAAAACAGTTTAGGGTTTTAAAAATCCCAAGTACAATGTAGTACATAAAAATCTAGATTTTAAAAGCATTTTTCTAAATTAAGTATAATAAAACATAAAGACATGAAAGCACAAATCGGCCTATCCGACACAAACAATATTAAATAAATCTAATGAGATTATATTTTTAAAAAAAGGAAAAAAAGAGAGAATTAATACTATTTGTAGATTATCTCAAGGTCACAAGATCCTGAAGGAAAAGAAAACAAACTTTGCAACATTTGCTTGTAATGGGCAACTTTTTAAATTCATATTAGATATTAGATCAAAATTCATGTAATTGTTAATAAGGATTTTTCCTAACTGCCAACATGGATAAGAAAAAATCCACTAGATTCTACGAAATAAAATAAACTTCATGATAATTGCAAGACTTACTACATATTTTACACATAGGGAATTTTAGAGATTTCATAGTCATCAAAATAGAAAATCTGCAATAATTTCCAGTTATGATTCGACATTAAGCATACTTGAAATGTTTACAGATAATTTCAAATATAATTAGGCATATAATTCCTCAAAGATAGTTTAAAGATTTTTTTAATTAATCTAAGAAGAGAGTTCTGAATAAAAATAAATTGACAGTTCAGAACAAAAAAAGTTTTCAACTTATTTCTATAAATGAAGTTTGCTTCATTATGTATTAGTAATACTTATTTACAGATTCAAGAAAGCAAGCAGTAATCAGTACATAAAAACTATCACAATAGGGACTATTACTGAATCTTGGAGAATTTTCTAAAATGCACAAAATCTGGGAGAATTTTAATTAAAGCAGTAGAAACTGGCAAAATCCAGTAGTCTACTGGAAAATCTGGAGTTGGCAGCTATGATTTTTGAATAAATGTCAAAATCAATTTATTATAATCATTAACCAACACCCATTTTTATCCACTAATTATTCTTTAATCAATATATTTTTAATGTTCATATTTTTTTTAATTGCAAATCAGAAGTCAGCCAACTGTTTTAATAAAACTTTCACACATACTTTATTAGGATCTTTCATAATGAGATATTTTCCTTCCTTCAACTTCATGCAGGTGTCTATGATACAACGGAGAATACCCCAAGCATTGTCCATATTCAAATTAATTTGATCTGCAAACTCTTTAGGCTTAAACTGCTGAGTTCCTAGAATGGCATGCTTAGCGGAGTCACGCACATGAACACGTGAGACATAGCTGGAAAAGTAAATAGAGAATGAGATTTTGTAACATTTCTCATGTTAAAAAAAAAAAAAGAAAAAAAAAGAGAAGCTATATCATACCCAAATTTAATTTGATCAGAGCCAGCTAACAATGCCTGCACAGTCCATTTTGCTAGTTTGCAAGAATTGTTCTTCAGCTCGTTGGCCAGAACTGCACCTCTTTGAGTGTCTAATTTCTGCCTCCAATCTATACCACCAGAAGTCTAAAATAAAAAGAAAGATTCTCTTTTGAAAAAAATTACACAGGATTAAAATTCATTCTTTCACATATTATATAACTTTTATATTAAAGCACGCAGGTGAAATTTTATTTGTTTGAAATAAAATTTCGAGAAAAAAGGAAGGTTATCCCAAGGAGCTAACAGATACCAAAATCACTTCCACAGAAAAGAAAGAAAAAAAAAATGCTACTCAGAAGAAATTATGAGCAATAAATAATCAGTTTAAGATTTTAATAACTACGAGCATGTAATGAAAATGATTCAAAAATAAATTAATCTGAATGAATTTTATAAATATATACAATACAGAATCCGTTATCCGGAAATCAGAAAACCGGAACGAAATTCAATAAATTTCCACGCCATTTTTTTTAAAAAAGTGTTTTTTCCTCATAAGATTTTAGGATTTTTCTTTCCTTTTTGAAAGATGTTTACCCTAACATCATTTTGAAAATAATCATTAGTGTATTACCTCATTGTTTGTTCTTCTCTTGAAGATAATTTCCAAATATTTTATCTTTTTTTAGTTGGGTTTAACAATAAAAAAACGGCTTTTTGTAGCTATTCAGAAAACCGGAAAAATCAGTTATACGGAATAGTGATGGTCCCGGATAGTCGGTTCCCTACTGTATATATTTAAGGAATGGAGCATAGACCATTCCTGAAAATATATCCCAGGTATAACTTGACATAGCTTAAAAGGTTCAACAATAGTTCCTATAAAGTATCAACAACAATGTGGTCCGAGAAGTTCTACCATTTTGAACGTCATTTATTGTAGCAATGTGATCAAAATCCTGGACAATCTGACGAATCAAACGACAACAGACACAGTAAAGAAAAAATCTTTTCAAAAGATGGAAAATTAAGCACTTTTTGCAAACTAAGAATAAAAAAAGCACCTTTAAAGGCTTTTAAAAAAAGTGAATCAAAAGCACTTTTTAAAAACACTACACACCCTGATTAAGAGTCCAGGTGAAACTGGAAATATCTAATAAAGTTGCCAGCAGGATATTTTTTTTGTTGGAATAAATAAATAAAAGTACATTTTGCTGCTTTTCCATTTTGCCCAGACAAGAATATACAAGCTATTTTATTTCTTAAAAAAATGAAATAAAAAAAATATATATCTAAAACCTAAAAAAAAAAGTTGCATTTGCAGTGTGTACTATATTGGCAAAATGAAAACGTATAAATATTTTTTATAAAAAGTTCATATAAACTGAAAGGTACACAACATGACTGAAGATTTACAATACAAAGAAACTTTGAGATAGTTCTTGTACTGAAACCCACTCAAACATTACTAATTCTAAACTCCTTAATTGCTGCTGAAAACTCAGTAATTATAACGTTGAATGATTACAGAATGTTTGTTACCCAAATAAAACTATTTAGAATGAGATGTATTTTCATAGCCTATTATTTAATAGAATCAAAAGTTTTTTTGGAAACAATTAGAAGATTTACTTTTAAATATAAAACAGTATCAATCTACATTTTACTAAGTTTCATTAAGGAATAAATAAGTTTATGCATTTATACAATCATAACCTAATTCTATAAATACTTACTCTAGGATCCCATTCATTTAAAGCTTTAATATTAATAAATTGTGTTTCGGAGTTGGGACCTAACATAACAGCATCATGTTCACAACGTACAATCAACTCCACACCATCTCCCAGATCCCAAGTACGATACCTGCAATACAAAAGGATTTTAAACATACTGTGTATGGTTACTATCTACAACTGCAAAAAAAGAAAAAAAAATAGAGTAGTCCTAAAATGAAATTTAATTATCAAAATTTTCTAGAGTAAAATTTAATGAGATCTGCAGTTTATATAGTAGTAATTTTGTCATGACATTGCTCCAAGTCTTAAATTGGCTTATTATAAAAATCAGATATTGAAGTGCTGAAATAAAAAAAATTCCCTAATAATCCTTTAAAACTTTTTGTTTTGTTTAAAAGGGTTGTAAAATTGCAACACAATTCAAAGTGAAAAAAATTATCAAACCTACATCATGTAGCCAAATCTTTCAAAAACAAAAAATAAGCAGATTTTTAAGTACATTTTTAGCATTCAAAAAATATTTGTAAGCACTATATACATTGACAAAATGTAAAATAATTTTCAAAGACTTTACACGATCATGATAAAAAAAACTAGTATCTGACAAAGAACTCTTTTTCTTGATTACATTAGTTATTATAAAATGATAAAGAGATTTTTCGATTCGATATCAGACGGTGGAAAATGAAGCCTGAAATCAAGAATATCTTGCAAAATGCAACAGAGTTGCACATGAGAGTGCAACAATCTCACCGAACTCAGCTCAGTATACACACAAGCGGACTCGTAAGTATTTCATCAAACATGTAAAAGGATTGGCGCTTTCATACGCTACGGATTGAGAGTACATCAAAACGGATTGTGGTTGAACGCTTTTGCACAAAACATGGCGAAAATAGACATGGTAAAGAAGAAAAAAAAGTCTCATTTTGGAAAAGGGAAAATGAAGCACTTTTAAAAACACCTAATGAAAAAAGCACATTTAAGGGCTTTTAAAAAAGGAAAATAAACACTTTTAAAAAACACTATGCCCCCGTACAATTATGTAAGATTCAAAAAATAAAAAGGAATCTAATAATTGTATTCATTTCGATATCTGATGAATACAAGATGACTATTAGCACCAAGACCAGATGGGATCAATTTGCCACCTCCCCCCATTTTCCTATTGCATCACAATTAGAAAAATAACTTACTAAAGCATTGACTACATTGGATTCTTCATAATTTGACCCAATTTAAGTGCTTATTTTATGATTCAGGTGTTAGCCTTAAGGAAACGTATATATTTGAACCTTACACCTAGAATGTCAGAGCGGCCACTCAGGCATTTTGATAGATATCCCTAGTAGTTTTGGCTATAAGGTACCATTTTCTATACATAAGGTACCAGAGTTTCACAAAAATAAAACTAACAAATCTATAATTAATATTATGAAAGAAAAGGAAACACATTTATTTAAGAAACAAATGCATACATATAATTGAAAAGCTTTTGTTAATAAATTGGAAGTCAACGACGTCCTATTTGATTAAATATTTTAGTAAACCAAATTGAATAAAATACAATAATATGCTTTTATTATATTATAATTGATCTACATAAAAACAATTTGGAAGGTCTAAACAAACCCTTTCAGTCTTTCATTTGTTTAATTGTTAGATTAACAACTAAGCAAATGTCATTTTTTTTAAGCGTAAAGGTTCAAAGATTAAAAAATAAATAACGAAGGACAAATTAATTAACTAAGCGCTGCCAATAAATTATTTTCTTTTTTTATTTCTATAACTGCATCGAATAGCAAAATATTTAAAAATGAATGTATTACAATAGAAGCTAAATTATTCAAAACTAATGGGACAAAGCATAAGCCAAAAATTGAAGTTGTTAAATTTTAGGGAATACAATTTTTTTCTTTTTTAAATTATAAATAAAACTATTATTTATGTGATAAACGACATGAAGTATTGCAAGTTCTAATTGTAAGGTGTTAACCAAGAGTTACTATGAAATTAAATACTTATAAGCTTATCTGTCACTTTATCACAAAATGGTTACATATAATGTGATTGTAATACAATATTAGACCACAATTTATGAATTAAACACAATTTACTCCGCAGAAAAACAGATTTTATAATTTAAAAAAATTGAATAAAATGTCAAAGAATTCAGGCATTTGTGGTGAAAAATACCATATTTTTATGTATATATGCAATTAAAATCTGAGTATTGTGCTGTTATTTAACAGAAATTCTGAAAATCTGCAAGAAACTCACGTTAAAAAAAAAACACTAAGAAACACTTAAAAATAAAAACAGGATTGCCACACTAATCTCGAAAAAAAAAAAAAAAAAAAAAAAAAAAAAAAAAAAAAAAAAAAAAAAAAAAANATTGTGTGAAAACTCAATTATAATGTTGAAAAACTCAATAATTAACACTACAGAATGTTCGTTACCCAAATAAAACTATTTAGAATCAGATTTATTTTCATCGCCTATTATTTAATAGAATCAAAAATGTTTTTTCGGAAACAAGTATTTAGAAGATTTACTTTAAATATAAAACAGTATCAATCTACATTTTACCGAGTTTCATAAAGGAATAAATAAGTTTATGCATTTATACAATCATAACCTAATTTTATAAATACTTACTCTAGGGTCCCATTCATTTAAAGCTTTAATATTAATAAATTGTGTTTCGGAGTTAGGACCTAACATAACAGCATCATGTTCACAACGTACAATCAACTCCACACCATCTCCCAGATCCCAAGTACGATACCTGTAATGCAAAAGGATTTTAAACATACTGTGCATGGTTACCAATCTACGACTGCAAAAAAAAAAAAAAAAAAAAAAAAAAAAAAAAAAAAAAAAAAAAAAAAAANAAAAAAAAAAAAAAAAAGTGGCCGCTTTGATAGATATCCCTAGTAGTTTTGGCAATAAGGTACCCTTTTCTATACTTAAGGTACCAGAGTTTCACAAAAATAAAACTAATCTATAATTAATAATCTAACAAATCTATAATTAATATTATGAAAGAAAAGAAAACTCATTTATTTAAGAAACAAATGTATACATATAATTGAAAAGCTTTTGTTAATGAATCGGAAGACAACGACGTCCTATTTGATTAAATATTTCAGTAAACCAAATTGAATAAAATAGAATATTATGCTTTTATTATATTATAATTGATCTACACAAAAACAATTTGGAAGGGCCCAACAAACCCTTTCAGCTTTTCCTTTGTTTGACAATTGTTTAATTGTTAGATTAACAATTACGCAAATGTCTTTTTTTAAGCGTAAAGGTTCAAAGATGAAAAAATAAATAAATAAACGAAGTACAAATTAATTAACTAAGCGCCGCCAATAAATTATTTTCTTTTTTTATTTCTATAACAGCATCGAATAGGGGCATTAAAGCAAAATATTTTAAAATGAATGTGTTACAATAGAAGCTAAATTATTCATAACTAATGGGACAAAGCATAAGCCAAATATTGAAGTTGTTAAATATTTGGGAATACCATTTTTTTCTTTTTTAAACTATAAATAAAACAATTATTTATGTGATAATCGCCATAAAGTATTGCAAGTTCTAATTGTAATGTGTCAACCAAGAGGTACTATGAAATTAAATACTTATAAGCTTTTCTGTGGCTTTATCACAAAATGGTTATATATATAGTGTGTGATTATACCACAATTTATGAACTTAACACAATTCACTGCAGAAAAACAGATTGTGTAATTTAAAAAATTAAATAAAGTGTCAAACAATTCAGGCATTTGTGGTGAAAAATACCATATTTTTATGACATTTCAATTAAAATCTGAGTATTGTGCTGTTATTAAACAGAAATTCTGAAAACCTGCAGGATTGCCACACTAACCTGGAAAAAAACAACTACCTATACATATTATGCAAAATATATTAATAGGAAACACACAATCACTGTGCTCTTGTGTGAGCTATAATGATCTAACTGTACTATTTTTGAGTGCAAAACAAAAACTATTTCGATTTGGTAGAAAAAAAAACAGTTGAACTTATTGCCATAGTAAATGAAATAGTTTAGTATAGTTTTAAAATCTCATCTTTACATATCATAAATTGCACTCTGAGTGGTCACCATTTAAAAAAATTCCTGTATTTCTCCCAATTTCTTAAAAAAAAAAACTAAAAATTCCACCCAGCATTTCCCCTTTTACTTTAGGTGATTTGTAAATACCCTGTATTCTCCAGGTTTTTCCCTGTGGAGTGGCAACATTGGAAAAGGTGAAACTTAATATTTTTTTTTTTTTTTGCTTTAAAATNGGTCTGAATAAATGGGTTAACATTTTCAAAAGAATACTTCTCTTCTCCCTAAAACAATAATAAATACCTTAATTAATTTACATAGATTTATTTTCATGATAAATTAATAATAATTTCACAATATTTAATTCATAGATAAATGTAGATTTTAGTAGCAATAAACTCAGAGTGATCCATTTCATTAGTTATAAATTTTTTTTGAATATATGATACATTATTTCAAATATTTTTAACAAAATGTAAACTTAGTTTTAGCTCTGTTAATTTTATGTTTAAATTTTAAGATTTGAAAAAGTTTGTATTTAAAAGTAAAAATTTGATACAACCTTAATCATTACAACTTCACTCTTGCCTGAAGTTGTTTATCAAAAAATGTGAAAAATACTTTTAAAATTTTTTTTAAAAAACTTCCAAAGGAAAAGTACAGAAAACAAGTGCCTACCAGGCGAAGAGATATAATTTGACAATTTTTCTAAAACGTTGCACAAATGTAAAAAATAAATTATAGATCATTATTTGATTTATTTAGGTTCTTAAAAATATTAAACAAGCATAAAAAACGACAGCACATTTATTTCAGTCATGCCCAACTTAAACTTAAAAAGAAAAATTTTTTTTTTTGCTACACAACGGAAAACAAACCCAGGCATAGTCAAACGTAGGAACGACCAAAAAGACGAAGTAGTAGAGTCGAGAGAACTATAGAGTACAGATGTGCAAATTCAACACGCGTCGCACCAATGAGGAAAATCCCTCATCAAACATCAGCGGTCAAAGCAAATTGAATATTATGAAGAAATTGAATATTAATTTACTAAAATACACAAAATAACTAAAGATTTTGTAAAAATCAGATTATTACCATTTTCAAAACTTGCTGTGAAAAGTTGTGATTAATAAAGGTAGCTTCCAAAGCTAAATTTCTTGGTGAATTAATACTATTTCCTTCTTCATGAGGTGGCTCAGCAGCAGTTTCATTGACAGTAAGTAAATCTGCAATAATAAGTTAATTTAAAACACTAGTAAGTAAATATCTTTAGTTACTATGTACATTTATTCTCTGGGAGACTTGTATGTTACAATTAATAACAAACAGGTTTTCAGGCTCTATTAGAGAAACAGTGTATGAAGTAAGAGTATTCAAGGATTCATTAATTTACATGAACATTTAGAGGTGACAGACTCTTTTAAAGCCATTCCTTTAAAATAAATGCATGGAAAGTATGAAACTAATTTACAGTAAGACATTCTACTAGCAAATAATATTTTCCAAATACGGCTCTTCATTTTTAAGTTAATAAATATCGAGCATAAATCCAACTTACATAATTTAGATAAGCATGAATTACATAAATACCATATAAGGAGCAGGAATTGTATAAAAAGCATGAAAGAATTGCAAAAAGCATAATTTACATAAAAGCACAAGTTGAGATATGAAAGTATAAACTTACCAAATTCAGAGTCATCTCGTTTATCAAAAAACAACTTATTTCCAACTCTCTGAAATAAAAGAAATATATATTTTTTTAATACAAAAGGAAAAATTTTGGCAACTTTAATATAAAGTAAAATAGCAGGATAAAATATTTACCTGAACTACTACATCCCAAGAGTAAATAGAGCGTGTAGTACACATAAGTGTCGCGATAATAGCATCAGTGGCAAACACATTACCTTCTGATTTAGTTAGCTGTAAATCAAAACAAAGTTATTTTAAAAAAAAAACAATGATATTTCAAACAATATATACATATGTTGCAGAAAATATATATAATCTAAAATGAAATTAACAATGTATTTTACAAAATATAAGTTTTCTTTAAGTATTCAAATATTAGGAAAATGAAATAGTAGGATTTTTTCTATGACTGAGTAGCATTGAAAAGCAGTAACATTATGACTTTGTAGTACAGCCAGTGGTAAAGGGCCAGGGTGAAAAATAGAATTTTATTTATAGTGGAGTGCCAGAGACTGAAATGGAAAAATTTAATTCTGATGGCTATACAGAGAAGAGGGGATTTAACTCTAGAGAGTTTTTAGTTTTTATATTTTTCTGAACATATTTAAATATTAATAGGGTCTTAGTTACATGAAAATGATCAATATTCAAAGCTACTAAAGACACATCACATTTTCTGATATAATTAAATCAATAAAATTATTTTCTTCATGTGAAAAGTATTAATTGATCGCACATTAAAATCAATCTCATAGTAATGTGGTATAAATAACCTAATAAGAAATAACTTAAGATAAAATTTCATGATAATTGTTGCATGGGGAACTAAATATTTTACACATAGGGAATTTTACAGTCATCAAAATAGAAAAACAGCACTATTTTCCGGTTATGATTGAAATGAACTTGAAATGTTATATTTTATGTTTACTCGAAATTTTGAATAGTAATAGGCATTTAATTCTTCAAAGATAGCTAATTTTTTTTTTTTTTCAAATTTAAAAAAGGAAATCTGAGTAAAAATAAACTGAGCATTTTAGAACAAAAAAAGTTTTTAACTGATTTTCATAAAAGAGGTTAGCTTCCTTACGTATTAGTAATACTTGTTTAAATATTCAAGTGAGCAATAATCTGTGCAAAAGTTCCATATAAATGGAGATTCTTTTTTTTTTTATTTCTTAGAAAACTTACTGAAGTTTAAGGGAATTTTCTAAAATATGCAAAAACCAAGAGATCTTTTTTAAACCAGTAGAAACTGGCTAAATTCAACAGAGTTGGCAGTTTGATTAGATTACCACTATTGGTTGGCCACGTATAATGAAAGCAAGAATAAATAAAAAAAAGAAATACCTTTCGAATGATGGGATCATCAGTAGTTGTAACCTTATGGAAAATTCTATTTATTCTTTGTAGCTGTTTCTCTAGCTTACAAGTAACTCTATCATACGACTTGTCATAATACTCGACAGCTCCACAAGTATGTCTGGAAAGTTCAGAAGAATGCATTACAACACAAACAAAATTTTACATTTTATGACACAGAAAACTCAAGACAGCTCTGACTGCACAGAGTGGCTTTTATCTTTCACAAAATACAGGAGAACAAGAAAAATGCCAATATTTTAAGCAATTTTATTTAAAATGTTATTCTCCCTTTTAATGCTTAATTTTTGTTAATGGGTCAAGAGAACTGGATCGTACACCAGCATTTCTTAGATATGAGTAAAGTTTTGATATGTCATGCATAATAGTGTAGGTCAAAAAGAGAAATTCAAAATTGGTAAAATTATAAGCACTTTAAAAATTATGTACATACATCCTAATCTAAAGATTTTTTTAAAACTATCATTTATAATTACTTAAATTATTTTATTTTATAACTGTCATTGAAAAGCTGATCAGAATTTGGGTTAACAACTAATGTTCAACTTGCAGCCTTGTAATTTTGAACCTGATCAAGAAGAAAAGGAAAATCCTGGTATAAGTATTAGGAGAAATTTGCCTTTGTGAAGAACTTTTTGATCGAACTAACCTACATTTGTGTTAGAAGGAGAAAAAAATCCAGAAAACCTCCCACAGTAAGCCAGACGGCAAGGGGACTAACCCATAGATCCGTCTACCACTAGAGATATTTTACATCAGTACTGTGGTCGGTGCAAGCCGGATCCGAATCTGGTTCATCTCAGTGGAAGGTGAACGCTCTATCTCCTGATCCATCGTGACTCTACTTATATTACTATATACTACTAGTACCATTTAAACTACTGCATTACTGGCAATAGCACCATCTGGTGACGAATAACCGATATATTTTTGCCATCAGCGGATATTTTATCCGCAAACTTTTTTATATAAATTTCTTTGCAAAAGGAGAAATTTGAGAATATTTGGGTAAATGGGAGATAGTCGTAAAATACAGGAGACTTGGCAGGCGGGAAAGATTAATTGTTTAAAAAAAAATTAAGTATGAGGAACTCAGAATAAAAGTAAAAATTCAAACTACTTAAATGAGAGTAATAGTAACAACTCAAATAGTGAACAATTAATGAATTAGAAAACAATATAAGAAATATCCTAGAGCACTGTAAATAAAACTTACACATCTTTCCCTTCTCCGACTGAAGGTAAAGATAATTTTCCAAGTCTAGGAAAGTCCATTTCTTCAATGACCTGCCACTCTGGACGGACAGTTACCGAAGCATCACGATTCTTAACAGGAGCTTGACCTTTGTTGTCAAACTTATGACGCATCTGCTTCTGCCATTTTCTAACTTGTTGAATACGATCACTAAAAAATAAAACTCATTTTAGCAAGGTTGATATGATTTGAATCACTCGATTTTTTTAAATAAATAAATAAGGGATAGTTAATTTTTATTAGACACCCTTGTGGTTTTTATAACAGTTACTGGACAGCCGATCCCTAAACCATAAGATTTTTTAAAAATATTAAGCATTATTAATAAAGTATAACAGTGATGATTAGTAAATATGAAAGAAAAAAAATCTTATTTAAATAAAAATTTGAATTTTTTTCCTTAAAAAAATCATGAATTTTGTAAAGAAAAATTTAATGGAGATGATAAAGAATAAAGTTACCGTTCTCGTCCTTTGGCCATTTTTGACAATATTTGCATTTGGGCTTGCTGTGCCTGCTTCATTCTTTCTCGATTACGCATGTTCCTTTGCTAGAAAAATAAAAGAAATAATTAATAAAATTATAAACGTATGTGCGTCATTTTATAAATATTATTAGAGAGATTCAAGGAGACGTTGACATGAACTCATTAAATTAGGTAAGGATACAAAACTAATTATTTATTTTGTAGCTGAAATGAAATACCACAATATCAGCATTCAAGGTTAGCTGACATAAATCAAATGAAGGGTGCGTAGCCAAATCTTAACAAAAAATAAGGAACTTTTAAGCACTCAAAAAATATTTTTAAGCAACATATACATTAAAAAAAAAATTGCAAAATAATGTTCAAAGGCTTTACACGATAAAACAACTAGTTTCTGAAAAGAACTCTTTTCTTGATTATATTAGCCGCCACCATAAAAAGATTGATAGATTTTTCGGTTCAATTTCAGAGGGTGGAAAATGAAGACTGAAATTGAGAATATCTTGCAAAATGCAGCAGAGTTGCACACGAGAGTGCTAGAAACTCACTGAACCCAGCTCAGTATATGCACATGCGGACCCGTAAGTATTTCATCAGACATGTAAAATGATTGGTGCTTTCATACGCTAAGGCCTGACGGCAGGCTGAAATGGATTGCAAAAATATGGAATAGAACAATATAAAAAGCACACTTTTGCACAATATGTGGTGAAAATCAATATGGTAAAGAAAAAAATTTCATTTTCAATAAGGGAAAATCAAACACTTTTTAAAAAAATATCTAATGAAAAATGCATCTTTAAGGGCTTTTAAAAAACGAAAATCAAAAATAAGCACCTTTAAGCACTTTTTAAAAATGCTATGCACCATGAAATACTTTGAAATTTTGGGTTAATAATTGGTGAGTATTACTTTAATTTGCATAAAACTGAATCTATAATTTTTGTATTGGTAACATGATAGGATTATTTCTTGACAAAAATTAACCACATTAAAAACCATTTACAAAATTGAAGTACATCTTACACATAATTATATATGGTATTTTAAAAACATTACTTGATTCATACGGAAACGTCCTCTATGATGCATGGGCTTATGAACCCTAGTTGTATCTACTAATTGGAAAGTAGTTTCATCTTCTTCATGGAAATAAGCATACTGACTGCCAGCTCCAAACTGAGATTGATACTTATCTAAAACAAATTTTAAATTGTTACCAGAAATTTTGAGCTAATCAATGCAGTCAAACAGAAATATAAAAATAAAGAACAAATAAGTTTGATCTCTTAACTTTTAATGCCTGCTAAAAAACAACTTCATAAAATAAGGCATAGTTCATTACTTAATTATACAGTAGAAAGCTTGATTATTTTTACATAGAAATTTTTTAAACAAACAATAATATATAAGACTTATTGATCAAACTAAATTGCAAAAACTCAAGATACTCACTAGCATATCTACGATCTTGATAGGTGCTTCCAGTCCAATCGGCAACCTGTAATCAGTTAAAATTTATATTAGTTAGCATTAATACAATGATCTTGTTTTGATATAAAAATAGTAATAATTATGCATCTTAGTAGTACCCACAGCAACCTATAGAATTCGTAACCGTGGAGGTTCAGGGGATAGAGCATTCGCTTTCCAATCAGATGAACCCGATTCAATTTCCAGCTATGAATGCTCGATACGAATTGACCATTCATCATCAATTATATATACGAATTGACCATACCGGCCACAGTGCTGAAGTAAAGTATCCTCAGTGGTAGACTGATCATGGGTTAGATTCTATTTGTCATCAGGATAACAGTGATAGGGCTTTTCAGGGTGCATAGTGAGATTTTTCAACAAAAAATAAGCACTTTTAAGTACTTTCTTAGCACTCAAAAAAATACTTTTAATCACTTTCCAAAAACAAAAAATCATATTTTCAAAAAACTTTACTTAATGAAAATAAAATAACTAGTTTCTGATAAATATTGCAGAGAAAATTTAGAAAAGCATTCATTTTTGTAATTTAAAACAACAATAGACAAGGCAGAGAAAAAAAAATCTGTTTTCAAAAGATATTACCACCTTTTACAAATCCAAAAAAGAAAAAGGACCTCGATGGGCTTTACAAAATGTAAATCAAAAATTAACAACTTTAAGCACTTTTGCTACAAATCGTTTGAAGACGCCCCCCTTTTACATGGTCATTTCTTTCAACTTGTTTTTGTGGGATATATCTATTTCACTGAGGAAAGCAAGTGCGCTCAGTCTTAGTTTCTTCATCATTGTGGCACACGAAAAAGTTAAAAAAAAAAATCACAAGGCACTATCATCTGGAATATCACCACTATAATATCAACTCATAGCTATCCCTGGGTAAATGTCTACCTTGGCAATTTTAATTAGTTAAGACAGGTAACGTGATGGAAATAGTCCAAACACATTGATGAAAGTTATTTGAATTGATAACCCACAGAATTATGACTGAAAATGTAAATTAATTTGTCTTCTTTTATTATCCATTATAAGACTGCATTATATTATTAACAATCAAGATAGCAACAACATGATTCTTTTTCTGAGAACCAAATACTTCCTCATTATTTAATGAAATAAATAGAAAATTTCAGTTAAATAAAAATTCACTAGCATTGAAAATATATAAAATAGTTTACTTAGGTAAAATTGATAAATCAGATAGAATGAGTTCCTAAGTGTAGATTATGGTGTAAATTGAATATTTTGAGTTAACATTTATTGTTGTTATTTTGGGCGCTGAAATGTTTTAAATACCAGGGGTCTGTTTAGAAGAAATTTGGGTCCGTTAACGGACCCTTCACAAAATATCTTTTCATAAAAACGGACCCTTCACAAAATATTTTAACTTAAAAACGGACCCTTCACAAAATGATTTTTCTTTTAATCGGACCCTTCACAAATTTGTTTATCTTCATTATTATTTTGTTAATCGAATAACCCCTTTCCAGGGCAGAAAACAAGAAAGATGGATGTAAACGAATTAAGTTTTGTCTTCAGTAGACGATTCTTCCATTATTCGTCCGAAATGAATATTCTGCTTTCAGCAGTATAGGCTAAATACCAGATATTTGTATGTTGCATCTCTAATTTAGAAGCAGCAATTGTTGTTTATTTTTTAAAATTTAATTTTTTTAATTATAATTTTACAGTGTTGAGCATAATCTTTTATATCTTTACAATTGCAAAAGTTTTTTTTTTTGTTGCAATAACGGACCCTATTTGCACTAATTCATAACAGCGGACCCTGTTTGAAAGAATGTGAGTAATTTTTTCACAATTTCACGAAAAACAGACCTTTCACAAAATGTCTAGACAGACCCCTGAATACTAAAACAGGAATTGTGGGGATATTTCAGTATTGAGATTGGTCGCACCAACCACAATCCCCCAAGTGCCAAATAGATTTTATATGTGCAAATTTATTAAAAAAAATAAATACATTTGCCTGGAGGTGGCTACAAGTTAGAGGAGATTTCTGCATCGTGATAAGTGGCAGAATATTTGCCAAGACAGGGCAACACCCTGCGAGAAACTAAAAAAAAAAAAAAAAAAAAAAAAAANCCTGAGAGAAAAAAAAAAAACATCACAGAAAGGGACCAACTCGAATGGTATAACTCATAGTCACCCCTAGGGCAAACATCAAATGTTTGTTTTTTTAAAAATTTGCAAGCTTTAAATCTAGTTGGTACCTTGGCGATTGCAGTTGGAGAGACAGATTATGATACGGATACCTTTCGAGTTCGTCCATTTCTGTGATGTTTTTTTTAGTTTCTTGCCCTCAGCTGCCAAGACTTGGCGATTATTCTGCCACAGATCACGATACGGAAATATCTCCATTACTAATTAATATATATACACACATAAAGATGTTAGTTTTTTTATTTATCTGAGCTGTTTAAAATGGATAACTATCATTATACCCCAATTCAATAATATAGCTAAGTTTTGATAAATTTTCACAAATGACTAAACTTAATTCTATATATAAAAAAATATATGTTATTGAGTCATAAAAAGAATAATATTTCTACCCTGCCACCGAGTATTCGGTATTCCGCAAAATCACTGTTCGTTACTATGCAGTACACTGCATTCGTACGATATTGGAGTGCGTTTAAAAAATAGTTATAGAACAAAACAAATATTATCAGAGTGAATAAAAGCACACTTTTAAAAAAATGATACGTAGTTGACAAGAAATATCTTTTAACACTACCTTTCCCAGACGATCATTTTTTGAAAATTGTTGATAAGGCATGTCCTTAAATTGATCCGGTAAAGAGCATGGTCCCCAACCATTTGGATTATCTTGAATTACCGGGGGCACAAAATGAAATTTAGGCGTCTGCTCTGTCGTCTCTTCCTCTTTGGTTTCCATTGTTTTATTTATTTTCAAATTAATTTCAAATAGATACCATGCTTAGAGATGAGTTGCCAACGAAACCGTACACGTACAGTTAAAGTTTCAGTGAAACATAACTACACATATATTATTATTTATAGGGAAAAAGCACAAAATGTTTTTTTTCTAAATTATTTAATTCAATTTATTTAGAGTTATTTAAGCATTTAATATTAAAAATGACAATTTATAGATTTTCTTTCATTATTTTTTTTCATTAAAAGTTGGAGAAAAAGTACTTTTTTTAATTCTAGAGATTGGGTGGCTTGCAGAATCTGGTCCAACGATTGAATGTTGGGTAAAGTCAGCTTACAACTTTATTTATTTTATCCTTTGACTTTAGAACTGGAATGAGATCGGGCTGTCTGCTCGATTCGAGTTCGTCGTAAATGTTTAGGGTGCGTGTTATGATAAAGCTTATGACATATTAATTAACACAAACATTACTTGTCATCACTTGGATATTTTTTATTAGTTCACAGTTAGCTGAATAATGTCCGGTGCTCCTAGTTCTGAAACCGATGCTTATGCATTGTTGTCTCTAAAATCAGCACCATCAAGTCCTACTAAAGTTTTATGGAGTCCGGAGCCGAATGCAGCGGCTATAGCTAAATTAGAAGGACGTGAATTTGAGTATATGATCCGACAAAACCGTATTAGTATAGGTCGAAATAGTAGCCGAGGGGAAGTGGATGTAAATATGGGGCATTCCAGCTTCATTTCGCGAAAACATTTGGAAATTTGTTTTGAAAATTCTTGTTTTTTCATGAGCTGTAATGGTAAGAATGGAGTGTTTGTTGATGGTGTATTTATGCGTAAAGGAGCTCCATCTCTGGAACTGCCGAGAACGTAAGTTTATATTTTAATTCAGTAATTATATAATAATTTCCTTTTAATTATACATTTAAATTATGTATCCTTATTTTGTCGTTATTTATACCACGTGATTCTTCGGAAGGCTAGACCTGCCGGTTTATAAAATTATCTGTTTGCCGATTATTAATTTTTTTTAATAATATTTAGTTGAATAGAATAAAAAATTTTATTAAGTGTTAGTGACAGTACCATTTGTTATTGCAAAAGTGGAATATTAAATGGAACGTTTTAAGGTGATTGCGCAATCTCACATTCTATGCCTCAAAATAAAGTATTTAGGAACTATAAAAGAGTAAATTTTCAAGTCTTGTCTTATTATGCTAGGTACCTTTGTAGTTTACTGCAATTGCTTTGTTATAAATTAAATTACTACAACTACTTGTTTTCAAATGTATAATGTCCACAAGCTTTCGAAATGTAGTGACTACTTCACTGTTTTTAAGGAACCAAATTATGCTGGGGTGATTAATTTACACATTATTTTTAAAATTGTGGTTTTAATTAAAAAAAATTGGCTTGTATTAAATATCAAGAATTAGTTCACAATGTTTTGTTTTATGCTTACGTGAGACAGTTTGTTATTTTCAAACATTAATTGTTGAATAAGTTAATTTAAACTTCAACTTTTTATATCCTTCTCTACTGCCAGGGATATTTCCATATGGTGATTTGCCCTGCCAACTACAATCACCAAGGTGCCTAATTGATTTTAAATAGAATTTTTTTTAAAAAAATGTGTAGATGTTTGCCACGCATGGCTTGGAATTGCGGAAGGCAAACTTGAAGGGCCACGCATGGCCCTTCAAGTTTGTCCCGCTCACGGGCCGCTGCATGGAAATTGCCATAACTTGACAATAATTCTACCTCAGATCATGATTCGGAAATCTTCCCTATCGGTTAATATTTAAGAAATACCAGGAAATTTTCAAATGCATGCAATTTCTTCTAAGAAATTTAAGTACATCAAAAATATGTTTCTTTCCTTTAAAAGAACATCAATGTTTCACTTGTATACATTCGCATGTGAAAGAGTGACCAAAGTGATTAAATATCTGATATTTAAAATAGCTAGCTTAAATATTAGTTATATGTGACTCTAAATACGCAATTCTTGTTAACTCACGGTCAGAGGGGCATTTTAAGTTGCATCCATTGGTGGGCCTGGGCAGTTTTGTACCTATCAAATTTGAAAGATTAGTTGAGTTAGAACCCTGTTTCTTTACTAGACTAACGTAAAAAGTAGTTGCCGAGAAAAAACAGACACTAGTATTATTTCCAGAGTTTGACTTTTTTAGGAATTATAATTCTGTTTGAATTTGTGTTATATTTTTTCTATTGTTTTATATTTACATTATTTATCAACAAAAATATTAGTTGGATGTCATTTTTTCAAATTTTATTTAAAGACAATTAAGTTTTTAAAATAAATATTATTTGACACTTTACAATAAAGGAAAGATCTTTGCTCAGTATTTCTTTATTATCTTTTTTGTAAAACTTAAGCAAAATAGTTTAGGTACTAAGTACTACCCCTGTTAGGTACCAAGTTGTACACAAATATCTACTTGCTACTACCTGCTTGCAATTTTTTGCGATTTACTATGCTGTATAACTTGGCGGTTCCTGATCTATTTTACAGGGTTTGTTGATTTAAATCAACTGATTTATATATATATATATATATATTGATTTAAGAAGTTTAAAAAAAAAACAGTACTTTTATTATTTCTTTTCTAAGTTTTAAAATTTATTTTAAATAAATTGCTGCATTAATTAATTTTAGCCCTAACAAAATTACTTTCTTTCTTGGTATGTGTTAAATTCCAAAACATTTGAAATTACATTTTTAAAAATCTTTTGATTCTTGAGATTGAAAGTACAGATTAAAGTAAACATTTAAGTTTTTTTCCTCATAATATGTTTACAGTATATTTGACATTATCAGATTTTCTATAAAGAAATTTTGTGAGAAAAAATTTAAATGAGTACATATATTTAAAAAAAAAATTTTTTTTAGCTTATCTATTTTGGTATAAGATTAAAAATTTATATTTTAATATAAAAATCTATGGTTTAAATATTTATTTATTTTTAGATGAATGACTACATTTGTAAACACAATCTGTTACATTTATTTTGTCATTTTAAAAATTAAAATTAAAGTTTGGTAATTGAAACTTTGTTTTAGTCTGTAAATTTCAATCATGCATTTGTTTCAAAATGGTTACAAAGCTATGTATTATAATGAAAAATTGATTTAGGTAGTTAGAGCTTCTAAAATATTCTTGTAATATATTTAGTTTTAATATTAATTTAATTTTGGTTAAACATTTATGAAGTTTTTTTAATCATAAATCAAAGTTCTTACAGTGTATTTAAATAAAAATCTAAAAAATCATGAATCCTGATTTTAGCCAATTCCTCCTTATTCATAATTATCAGAAGCACGGGTACCACTCTTCAGTCCCGAGGACTGAAATCAGACTTTAAAACAGATCAATGGTCTGAATTCTGTCCTTAAATTAATATTTATTTCTAATTTTTTTAAATTAAGTTTTTAAAATAAATAAAAAAAATTCTTTTTTTCTTTGAAAAATGCTAAAATTTATGTTAAAATAAATATTAATAAAAAATTGATCTTTTTATGAAAATATTATCAGGGTGTGTAGCATTTTTAAAAAGTGCTAAGGTGCTTATTTTTGATTTATGTTTTTTAAAAGCCCTTAAAGGTAGGTACTTTTTTTATTTGGGGTTTGTAAAAAGTGCTTCATTTTCTATCTTTTAAAAATAAATTTTTTCTTTGCAGTGTCGATTGTCGTTCTGAATTACAAAAAATGCATGATTTTCAAAATTTTTTCTCTAATATTTATCAGAGACTAGTTATTTTATCATAATTGTATAAAGATTTTGAATTTTATTTATTTTATGTTTATAAATTAAGAACTTTAAATGATAGGAAGAAATATAATTTTTATTACTATGCAGATCCTAATAATGATTTCTTTTTTTTTTGGAAAGTGATTAAAAAAAAATTTTTAGTGCTTAAAAGGGCTTAATTTTTGTTGAAAAATCTGACTATGCACCCTGATTGTTATTTTTCATAATTATTTCAAATGTCCCACCCCAACGAAAGAATGGGATTGACCGAACTTCATCATCTGCTTGTATGAATAAAATTTAAATTACTGAATCTGTTACAGTTTGATTTTTCCCCCTGACATTTTGAGGCGCTGGATAAAGTCGACTTAAGATTATTTCTTAAAAAAATTAATTTTATGGCACTAGGAGAAAACATTAATGATGATGAGGTGAAAATTAAGTAAAGATATAAATAGCACTGAGAAAAAAGTTGGTTTTGTAACTCAGCAATTGAAATAAAAATGCATATAAATTTAAAAAATACATAAATTTAATAAAGGATCCTATATATATATTTTTGCTGTAAAAAATTAACTGATAAAATTATTAAAAAAATTTTTTTTAAGTGAAAAATAATTCAAGTCAATGATATCATATGTGAGCCATTCTCCTGGTGAAAAATTCTGCAAAATAACCTTAGATCCTGGTTGTTGGTCAATAAATAAGTTAAGTCTTGAAATCTTTTTATCCCATCAAAAACTCATGTAAATCAGATTTTAAGTGTTCTTAACATGTTTTAAAAATTAAATAGTAAAAGCAATAATTGTAATTTACCAATTCTTAAAATAGTTTTTTTTTTCTTTCGTTTTTTTATATCTATAAGTGAATGAACTTGTTAAGCAAAAGAAATGATTAATTATTACTTCAGTTAGATGCAAAAAATATCAGTACAGCAATTTAATATGTTATTGATCAAGTTTTGTATAATAGAATTAATCACTTTGTTAAATAGGATGCCTGTAATTATTTTTTCTTCGCTAATTCTTGAATGCACAGAGGAGCATCAGCAAAATGCTGTGTCATTTTAAGTCTCGAATTTATTTCCTGTATAAATCATTCTCATTTATAATGTAATTGAGAAGCCTAACCCACAAAAGTAAGTTGAATCAAATATAAATAGTGCTTTGATATCCATTTCTGTCTCTTATCATCAATAAGAATTGCCCATTAAAGATCAAAATTCTGTGTCTGATTTTTCTTCAAATGAGTCTTTAATCTGGAAAAAAATTTCAATCCAAAACACTGATCTCGCAAAACATCAAGCAACTAATTGAATGGATTTATCTGAACATAACTTCTCTTTAACATATAAATCTGGAATTTGCACAGTGTAAATCTAGAATATTTGTTTATGCCCTAGAACTATGAAATTCTTTCTTGGTTGGTTACTTGTAGTTTATGAGCCTTCATAACTATATCATATTCAACACTCACTGCTCTGGTTAATTTAATGAAAATTTATTATTTGATACTATTTTTATGAGCAATGAAAAACCTGTATTTTACTTTGAAGTTGAAAAAACAATGTGCTTCTCAATAGTTGTCGATCGACAGAATGTTAAGTCACAAGATTTCAAAATGGTAAATATTTTAGTATATGTTTTTGTACTGCACTTATACTGCAAAGGTGATTTTCAATTATTCTTGTTCAAGTTGATTGTGCCATAAGGTACAAATTAATTAGTAGTACATAATTACAAAATACTGTTTTATTGATTTTTATAGCAGCTGCATAATCTTCACTTTCATTTCTATGAATGACCAATATAATGGAAAAAAATTTTTCTAGAAATTAATTATTTGTCTATCATCAATATCTTAAGTGAGTTTTTTTTTTTTTAAATTGAATTTAGTTTTTGAAATAGTTGGCAATTAAGTGTCAAATATGAACTTGAACATTATCTTCTGTAAGAAAGAAGAGTTAAAAATTAGCAAACTAAGCTATTATTATTAAAGTACATGTTTAAGTTTTTTTATGCAATTTCACTTTCCATCTTTTAGGCAGAGATAGGGAGACAAAAATTTACTAAGTGTAAAATCTATTTACTATTCCT